GGGGTATGTTGATTTCTTTTTGGTCCTCATTAGAAAAGCTTTTGATATTCCAGATTGGGCATCAAGCATGTCAAAGGGATGCTGCTTTATGGGCCTCCTGGTACTGGGAAGACACTCATGGCTCGCCAGATTGGAAAGATGTTAAATGGGAAAGAACCAAAGGTATTGTATAAGCTGTACTCAGAAAAAAGGAGATGAATAGATACTCAAGACTTATTACTTTGGTTTCTGTGTTCTTTCCTATTTGTTCTGTGCATCAAATATTTAGTGACAAGGATCAATTCTTCCGTTATGCTTGCTTGTTCCTATACTAGTAGGTGCAAGGGTGGAGCCAGCAGTTAGGTGGCATGTGCAATGCACATGGATAAACACAAACATAAATTGTATTTCGTTTCAAGTGGTGAAGCATTAGAAGCTTGCTTATATAGTTTTTATTTAAGGACTTAGCATTTAAAGTCTGCATTTATGCTTCTTGGGTATGAGCTTTAGAGGGTGGAAAAGCATTTCATCCTTATTTTTGTATAAAAAAAGTAATTCATTAGTTTGTCTTTTTGCATAGAAGCCTCTTTCCAAGGCAAGTATTTCTTTTATAGTAACGTAAAAATTTCATTAAAAGGAAAAAAGAGAATATGCTAGAAAAATGTTGAGTGAAACACTTTTGCCAAGGCAAGCATTGGCATTACATGGAATTGGAGTAACTGCTGTAACAGACTTAGGTTTAGTGTGAGATCAGTCAAGAAAAAATAGAAAACAATAATTACACTTAGCCCTATCTCCCTCTGTTGAGCCCGCTTGATAGTTGTCTTTATCTTGAATCATTGGGAGATTTGTAAGGGTAGTTCTTACATTTATTCATGTGATTCCTAAGGTTAGTAGTCCCATTTATCTTAGGATCACAATTGTAAGTTGTAGGGCAATAATTACACTTAGCCCTAATAACCCCTTGTTCATTTGGCTCAAGTCGAGTAAAATGATCCCATACCTCTGATTTGTCCTTCATTTTTGCCCTCTTACAAGTTTTCTTCTGTTCCAAAGCTTCATCATGAGTCTCTTGTTGATTTGAGCATGGCGGATTTGTATTGCCAACCATGGTTATATTTCGATTTTTATCAACATGCTCCTTAACTTGTGACATCTAAGATGATGTGGACAAAAAGACAAATTACATGCATTACTTAAAGTATACAACGATAAGCACAAGAAATACCAAGCTGGAAACAACAAAACAAGTTGGATTTTTAGGGATTTCAGACCTGAACTTGAAGTAAAACTCCTCCTAGAACAGTCTGTTACAGTAACAATGGCAACAAGCTGGTCTCCCGCGCAAACACGCAGCGATGGAGGGATTGGGTGGTGCCAAAATTTGTCGATTCCTCAAAACCCAAGCTCCCAATACTTGAAAACCCTAGCTGGGGCTGAACTACAGCTCAAACAAGAGAGAAAGAACCAAAAAGACCCTACAGAAACAACCCCATTCTCTTTTATAAGACTCACTGGCTAGCTGGACAAGCTAGTTAAAATGTTTACACATAAGCCCCTTACCCCTAGAATGTTTCCCTCTCACCAACAACTCCTTAAGAACAAAACTAACTTCAAATGAACCCCCAGAAGATAACTTTAAGAGACCAAAACCCAACAAAAATGCACCCAACTGCCCCTGACCAAAAATCTGACTTATAAAATGATGAAAATACCCCTGATCCCAAACTATCAACAAAGGTACCCAAAACACCAATTTGGGATCCCACTACAAAAAGCATACAAAATAGAATACATTCACAATTTTTTTAGCCTCATCATTCCCGCTGGGTTAAAAAGAGCTTGACCCCGTATGAGCAACAATTTTAGCAGCCTTGCACATGTTTCCACCTAGCTTCATAAACTCCTCTTCACTAATCCAAGAGTTCTCAATTGATGGTTTCCCGTTCCACTTGACCAAGAACCTGAAATAGGCCTCATTTCGAGTGTTGGTAACTTGAACATCTTCTACACCCTCTACTTGTTCAAACTCATTAGAATTACTATCCCTTTGTGCTAGTCCTCGCCCATCCTTCGTTGTTGGTTCTAGCTCCCCATGGTAATCAAAGAGGTCTGCTACATTAAAAATGGGTGAAATGGACATGGACCAATCTCAACACTTGACATGGACCAATCTTTTTCTGCTTCAACTTATGTTAGGTCCCAACGGGAAACCTTTTAGGCCGCAAATAAACCATGACTAGATCACCTTCATGAAACTCTTTCATCTGACGATGCTTATCCTTAACTTATTTATACCTTTGGTTGCTTTCTTTCAGCTTCTGTCGTACATTCTCTTGAATTTCTCGAATGGATTCAGCTAAAGCTTCAGCATCATCACTCACTCGCCGCAACCCTGTTATAGGAGCTAGATCAACAACACTTTTAGGTGACCGACCATATACAACCTCAGAAGGAGTCTTCCCTGTAGATCTATTAACTGAATCATTGAAGGCAAATTTAGCTTGTGGTATGATAAGATCCCATTGCTTTAAGTAGTCTCTAACTAGGCTCCTCAACAAGTTGCCTAAACTTCGGTTAACCACTTTAGTTTGTCCATCAGTTTCTGGGTGAAATGTACTGCTATATTGTAGGGTAGTACCCATATGCTTCCATAAAATTCTCCAGAAGTGGCTAAGGAATCTTGTGCCACGATCTGATGTGATAGATCTTGGCAATCCATGCAACCGAACAACTTCTTTGAAAAACAAGTTAGCTACATGAGAAGCATTAGAAGTCTTTTGGCAACCAATAAAGTGGGTCATTTTAGAGAAACGATCAACTACAACAAAAATAGAGTCATTACCCCTAGCTGTTCTTGGTAGCCCCAACACAAAATCCATAGTAATATCAGTCCATGGTGCTTTTGGTATGGGTAAGGGAAGATACAAACCTATATTTTGACGTTGCCCCTTAGATGTTTGGCACTTGTGATCTATCAACATAATAGAACACATACCTTTGTAGCCTTGGCCAAAAGTACTTTTTGGAGATCATTTCAAGTGTCTTCTTGTGACCAAAATGTCCCTTGCAATGCAAATCAGTAATGAGCAATGCCCTCAAGGATCCTGATGGAATACATAACCTATTGCCCATGAATAAGTAACCATCATTCCACACAAACTTGGCTCGAATATCCTTGTCACCTGCTGTATAGCTTCTACAAATAGGGCCAAAATAAGGGTCATCTTGGTATTGGTCTTTGATGGAGCTGAATTCCACAACATTAGTAGACATTGTTGACACCAAGTGAACTCTCCTACTAAGAGCATCAGCTACCCGGTTTTGCTGTTCATCCTTATGCTTCAAAACAAAACTATATTCTTATAGAAAGTCAACCCATTTAGCATGTCTTCCCTTTATCTTCTATTGAGAGTTAAGGTGTTTCAATGCTTCATGGTCTGAATACAACACAAACTCCCATTGGATAAATAATGCCTCCAAAACTTCAGCACTTGCACAATGGCATAAAACTCAACATCATAAGTGGAATACCTCCTTCTAGGCATCATTAAGTTTCTCACTAATGTAAGCAATTGGACGGCCTTCTTGCCTAAGGACAGCTCCAATCCCAACATGGGATGCATCACATTCAACTTCAAAGAGCTTGTTAAAATCAGGTAAAGCCAATACCGAAGCCTTTGTCATCCTCATCTTTAGCACTTGGAAGCTTTTCTCAACAATGGGAGTCCAAGTAAACTCACTTCGTTTCAAGCATAGTTGTCACAGCGATGCCTAGGCGGGCGCCTAGGTGATACCTAGGTGACAAGGCGCCCTTTGAGGCTCGCATCGCTTAATTGCCTAATAGTTTTCTACTTCTTACTATAAAATACTTTTTCATTCATTCCTTTTTGAGATTATAATTATAAAATGGGCATTATTAAACTAAAATAATCATTTTGTGTGTTTATATACTAATTTCTTTTTATTATTTTCTTATTTATTAGGGTTTAATCAACACAAACATTGCTAAATGTTGTATTAAACCCTCAAAGACTTAAAAACCTGAACCAATATGCAAGGAAGAACTAAATATTTTATCTAATCAAAACATTTTCCTCTTCCATATATTCTTCTTCTTCTTCTTCTTCTACTACTACTACTACTACCAGTACTTTTTATTTTCTTCTTTTCCTATAACGAAAATAAGGGTTCAGCCCTTATATTTTTTGAATTTTATTTTCCTTCATCCTTTTCTTCTCATGAATATGTTGATTTCTATACTTTAATATGAAATTTATACTTTTCTTATGAAAATCATGAATAATTATTAAAGAAATATGGTTATGGTACCTAGGGAACTACCTTAGGATCTATATTTCTAACAGAAAAAATCCATCGCCTAGGCAACTAGGTGATAAGGCGCCCCCCAGTTGCCTGGCCTTGCCTTGGTGCCTTGAAAACTATGCTTTCAAGCATTCAGTAATGGGTGCTACAATAGTGCTGAAATTTTTTATAAACCGACGATAAAATGTTACTAGCCCATGGAAACTACAAATTTCAGTTAAGGTCTTTGGTGTTGGCCACTCTTGAATAGCTTGAACATTTTCTTCATCCACCTCAATCCCCTTGGTTGAAACAACATACCCCAAAAATACCAACTGATCAGTCATATAATTACACTTTTTCAAATTTATATATAGTTGATTTTGTCTCAAGACTTTTAGGATTGCTCTCAAGTGTTCTAAGTGGCTGTCATGATCTTTGCTGTGGATGAGTATGTCATCAAAATAAACTACCACAAACTTCCCTATGAATGGTCGTAAAACTTGGCTCATGAACCTCATAAAGGTGCTAGGAGCATTAGAAACCCAAATGGCATAACCAGCCATTCATAAAGACCTTCCTTAGTCTTGAATGTAGTCTTCCACTCATCCCCCGCTCGATTACAAATTTAATGGTATCCACTCTTCAAATCTATCTTTGAAAAGACTTGTGAGTCAGCCAATGTGTCTAACATATCATTAAGGCGGGGTATGGGAAACCTATATTTAATTGTAATCTTATTGATGGCATGACTGCCAACTACCATCTTTCTTTGGTGTGAGCAAAGCTGATACAACACATGCACTTAAGCTCTCACGGATCAGCCCCTTCTTCAACAACTCTGTTACTTGTCTTTGGAGCTCCTCATGCTCCTTAAG